ATTAGCTGGGTGTTGTGGTGCACACCTGTAGTCCCAGTTACTCAGGAGGCTGGGCCAGGATTGCTTGAGCCCAGAACTTTGAGGTTGCTGTGAACTAGGCTTATGCCATGGCACTCATGTCTGAGCAACAGGCTAGAAGACATTTGACTTCTTGAGAAGCATGGAGCTGAGACTCCTAAGTTCTTGTGGGAGAAGAGGGGGCCTGGGATAGTTTAGTTCTTGTGTTCTAGACAAAAGAGGGTCCCTGAAAGGCTGATGTAAGTAGTTAACATACACAGCTCACTAAAGAAATGGCGGGGTGGGCAAGAGGGTGTTCCAGGCCATAGATGCAGGGAATATGGTTCTTACCATGAAAATTGATGAGAGCAGTCAATGAGATGACTTGGGAAAGCACTTAATGTATAGCCAAAGAGTAACACTTAATTGTCATTATTCTATCCACTCCCCTCCTGGAGCAGATCCAATGTCTTGGGCACCAAGTTCACCATCTTTAACAATGGGGTGAATCCCTCTAGAAAGAATATCTTCCAGGAGACTGCACAGATCAGACAGGAACTCGGAGTTGTGTGTTATGTGAGTGTCCTAGGGATGAGAGGGCAGGATAGTGGGAAGAAGGAGCAAGGCCAACTGGAATATAATATTCGCAGGAGACCAACGTTTTTGGATTGCGAGGCCCTCGGAAAATGACCGTGATTATCCCAGCAGTCGACAGCCAAAACCAGAGAATCATTTTCCAGCCACTAAACGTGAGTCCTCAAGGTCAGAAAACTCTGGGTCAATGAAGGAGGAGGGGCTGGGGCCTGTCCTCCTAGGTCCCAGAGGAGAAGGGGACCAGTGAGTTAAGGTCTTGCATGAAGCTTGGAGGGTTCTGTCAGAATTCTGTGACACAAGAAGTAAGGACTAGGGCGTCACCTGTGGCTCAAAGCAGTAGGGCGCTGGCCCCATATGCGGGAGGTGGCAGTTCATACCCAGCCCCGGCCAAAAACTGCAAAAAAAAAAAAAAAAAAGTAAGGACTAAAGACTCACAAATTCAATGTCCCAAAGATAAAAAGCTGGTTGGTGGCTGGGTGCAGTGGTTCACACCTGTAATCCTAGCACTCTGGAAGGCCGAGGCAGGCCGATTGCTTGAGCTCAGGAGTTGGAGATCAGCCTGAGCAAGAGTGAGACCCTGTCTCTACTAAAAATGAAAAACTGAGGCAAGAGGATCACTTGAGTCCAAGAGTTTGAGGTTGCTGTGAGCTGCAACGTCAGATCTCTCTATTGAGGGCAAAAAAATGAGACTCTGTCTCCAAAAAAAAAAGAGAGAGAAAAGAAAGGGTGGTTGGTGGTATGTTAACCACGCCCCCACTTTCATCTCCTAGGAACAGGAGTCACTAATGAGTCGTTTCCAACGGGGCTCCACTCAGGGGCTAGTCCTACTGCAAAACAAAACTCCTTTGTGGTGTGAGGAGAGCAGTGCCTACGTGCTCAATTTTAGTGGTCGAGTAACTCGGGCCTCAGTGAAGAACTTCCAGATCGTGCATCCGGAAGACCGTGAGTAAAGGGGTGGAGGAGTGAGCAGACGAGAACTACGTCTCCCTTCAGTCACTTGAGCGTTTTTCTAGGCAGGGTATACTCCATGCTGTCGCAAAGCTTATTGGGAATTGTAGTTTTCACTGCCCTCAGAGGGTTTCTGAACTTTGTGATTACCACACCACCACACAGCCTCTTAGAAATCCCTGTATTACTTGGGCAGGCTGAGGTGGGGGGATTGCCTGAGGTCATGAATTC